ATGGCTACCTGACCAGACGCAGCAACCGGAGGAGACTCAGTAGTCAGTGTGTACAGGCTCGACCCAGGCCGACGGGTGAACGTGGCCAGGTGGCGGCCCGTCCTAGTGCACGTACAGTGGGTCACACGCTGACCTCCAGGAGTGAACTGGTCAACCCACACGTCCTGGAGGTCAGCTCCACTCACCAAGTTCGTAGAGAACGAGGGGAGGTGAAGACCCGACAGTGAGCCAGACGGGGCCGCCGGACACGGCAGAACCGTGGAGGAGTGCGCAAGGACTGGGCCCCCAGAGGGGTCTGCCAGGGAGACTGCAACCGGCCGACTGAGCGGCGTGAGTGTGGTGCTGTCGCGAAAGAAGGAGCGGGGAGCACCTGAGTCAAGTGTGAAGGTGTGCAAGGCCTCAGCAGGCGCAGTACCAGAGAGAGCAGACTCACCAGCACCTGGAGCAGCAGACTCACTAGCACCTGGAGCAGCAGACTGACTAGCACCTAGAGCAGCAGCCTCAATGCCCGGGTCGGGCGGAACACACAAGTAACAGTCACCCTCAGCACTATCAGTCACAGCATACATGGCAGCAAGGATAGCATCGAAATCAAGATCAAAGATAGCAACACCAGACTTAAGCAGATCACCCCAGCGAGGGAGCTCAACGGCGTCAGGAAACTGGGCGCGCCAGGCGTCAGTCAGGCAACTGAAACAGCGCTGCGTCGTGTGTGGCAGTCCGCACGTCTCCCCACGGCGCCCGCCGGTGCGGAGAACGTAAGTGCAGGGACCAGCACCCCCAGACCTCCCACGCCCAGCGTGCCACTCACGAAGCTGCTGGGGCGACAGGGTCTCACGGGAACGCGGCTGCTGCTGGCGCTGGCTACCGCCAAAGCCTCCACGCTGCGCGGCTCCACCCCGACCAGCACCACCGCCCTCCGCCACCTCCACTGCCGCTGCCGCTGCCTCCACCGCCTCCACCGCCGCTACCGACGCCCCAACTCCCGCCACCACCCCCACCTCCACCGCCACCCCCTCCGCCTCCTCCACCGCCTCCACCGCCGCCCCCGCCGTCCCCTCCACCACCCTTGCCCCCCTTGCCCTTGCCGCTGCGGCGCCTCCCACTAGGAGCAGACGCAGCCCCGACCTCCTCGGTGCCAACGAGGTCGACAGCAGCAGCGGAGGCAACAGAGGGCAGAAGGGGAACGGGGGAACACCCCTCAAAGAAAGGGGCGCGAGGGTCGTGTTGGTGCAACCCTACGGTTTGCACTCGGCTTGTTGTCCGTGTGCGTGAATGTGTGTGTGTATGGAATGGTATGAGGGCATGGGATAATATATATTTCATGCTTATAATTGTGTGTGAATGTTGAGTCATGATGTCGAGTGTGTGTGTCGAGTCAATAGCGAGTTATCGCTAGACGCGTGTTACGCGGTCGTTTGTGTCTCGCGCGCGGTTTCTATTTTGTCGTGCGCGGTTTCTATTTTGTCCTGTGTCGAACGTTCGGCGTGTCGCAGGTGTGTGCAGCAGACCCATCAAGAACTCAAGGATGAGTTTGTGATGAAGAGCCCGAGCCTTGGTGTCAAGCCTCAAGTGATTTCGAAGCTCGCCAAAAAGGGTACACCTCAAGATATTGAAGATAGTTACATTACTTTGTGTAGTGTAACATTTCACTTGGTGTAGGCCCTAGTGAAGGGTAGTTTCGAGACCCTTCGTGGTTGGGGACAGTGTGGCACTGTTCCACATCACTGTACCTCGGCTCTTGGGGTTTGTAGGAGCTGGGAGTCATTCCCAACTCGTAACTCTTCCTATCTTGTGTTTTAAGACTATAGTGGCTGCCATAGTACCGTTCGTTCAAACCGACGCTGTGTCGTCAATTCTTTATCAAATCGTGCAATCTAAATTGCTAATTGTAGACGACGTGAAGACGCTCCAGATCCAATTTGAATCAAGTCATTTGCAGCTGTGAGCAGAACGCTATCAACGTTTGAAGCCGCTGTGCAGAAATCCGTCTGTGCTCTCTATCTTTCGTTTTAGGCACATTCAAGGCTATTGTGACTATAACAGGTCGCCACGGGAAGCACCTACAGCAACTGTGCTCTTCTCAGCTGCAGTGAGGCGCTCCTCTAGCAGGTCGACAGTGAGCTCGGTGGGGCAAAGGGAGAGAAAGTGGTCCCTGACTGAGTAAAGAGAGTCAGGGAGACGGGTGACTAGGTAGAAGAGGGTGATGTACATGGGGGGGGGGGGGGTTCTTGGCGCAGAACTCGGAGGGAAGTGCAGCGCGGTAGCGGGCGTCACTAGTGCGGAGGTGAGTAATGAGGTCAGCGACTGTGGCAAAGGCGGCTAGGTCAGGGAACAGGTACGGCAGCATGATGCGGCTGAGGGCAGCAGTGGCAGGGGAGGAGTAGCGCGCTATGATAGCGTCATACAAAGACTTAGCAGTCTTGTACTGGCCAAAGTGCGCGCGCTCAGCAGACGGCAGGTGATTAGGCGAGCAACAGCGTCACGTGTAGTCCACTGCGAGCGAACCGTACTGTCAGCAGTGGCAGCAGGTGCAGCAGAGGCGCCGGACGTGTGATCGAAAAGCGAGACTCCGTCCCTAGAGTCGCACTGAAGAAAGAGCTGCAGGTCATCTACCCAAACGTCGAAGTCCACCGCACGACCCTCAGCATCGAAGGTAAGAACATTAGGGCTAGCCATGGCGGCAGTAGCAGCAGTAGCAGCAGGAGCAGCAGTAGCAGCAGAAGCAGCAGTAGCAGCAGTAACAGCTGCAGCAGCAGGGGCAGCGCGGGCAGGGCAGCGCGGCTCAGTAGGGCAGGGCGGCGCGGCTCGGCAGGGCGGCGCGGCTCGGCAGGGCGGTGCGGCTCGGTAGGGCGGCGCGGCTCGGCTGGGCGGCGCGGCTCGGCTGGGCGGCGCGGCTCGGCTGGGCTGCGCGGCGCGGCAGGCAGGCGGGCGCGGCGGCTCGCTTAGCAGGGCGGGCGCTTACCAGGGGCGGGTGCAGGGCAGGGCCGCAGCTGGCGGTTAGGTCAGGGCCGCGACGGGGCGGCTGTAGGGCAGGGCCGCGACGAGGCGGCGGAAGAGCAGGGCCGCGACGGGGCGGCAGCAGGGCAGGGCCGCGACAAGGCGGCTGCAGGGCAGGGCCGCGACGGGGCGGCGGCAGGGCAGGGCCGCGACGGGGCGGCGGGAGAGCAGGGCCGCGACAAGCGGCTGAGGGCAGGGCCGCGACGGGTGGCGGCAGGGCAGGGCCGCGACGGGCGGCGAGGTCAGGGCCGCAACTGGGGCGGTAGGGCAGGGCCGCGACGGGTGGCTAGGTCAGGCCGCGACGGGCGGCTAGGTCAGGCCGCGACGGGCGGCGACAGGGCAGGGCCGCGACGGGCGGCAAGGTCAGGGCCGCGACGGGCCGTTAGGGCAGGGCCGCGACGGGCCGGGAGGGCAGGGCCGCGACAAGCGGCAGGAGCGCAGGGCGCGCGACGGCGCAGGTGAGGCAGGCGCGAGGCGCGCTTCGGGCAGGGCAGGAAAAAAAAAATTATCGTGGTGGGCCCTAAAAAAAACGTTCCCACTAGGGAACCTGCTCTGAAACCATGTCAGAAATGGGAAGGAAAGAATGACTAGAAAGAGAGCAGTACAAGGTTTGTATAGCAAAACATAATTTGGGCTGTACCCCATAAGGAGTGCCCCACTACAGCCTAGAGCATATATGCATAGTTCTGACATAAACGCCTCCACCACCTCTGGTCGTGGTGGCACCGTCCGAGCAAGATACATAGGTCGTGCCGACACTGCAATGGCCAGAAGGTGCGCCGCCGCTGGGGGGGTTCGAGCAACGGGAGACTAATCCCCAATCGGAACGCCAACTACCGTCAAACCCTCCTCCGTCCGCTGCATGCATGCCAGGTGGCAACCGCTCCTCTAGATCAGCCCACCCCCGCTCCCAAAACCGACACTTATGCGCCTGCACTTGCAATCCCACTGACTCCAACCGCTCCCGTAGCACGCCAAACGCCTCCAATATCCGATCCCCAGGACCCAAAATGTAGGTATCGTCGGCATAGCTCTGCAAGTTTGCCTGCGCGGTCCTCCCTAGCCTTGCCTCACTCCCCCACATGCTGTCGCACGCGCCTACCCCAGCACTGCTGTGTACGGCTGCAAGCAGGATTTGCTCGGCACTACGCATCTGTGAACGGAGCCATGTGTACTGTACATGGCTCCCCTCCCACCCACCCCCTTGGTCGCCTCCGTAGGAGAGAGTGAAGTGGACAGGGTGACGGGGCGGGGCAGTCATGGCCGGTGTGTCCGGGTCTGGGCGGCCTGTGCGCCGAAGCCTCGTCATGCTGTCCCTCGCAATCACAAGAATGGTGCAATGCATGGATGCATGGAGTAGTAGCACAATTTACCTTCGCCAGTCGCCACCCAAGGCGCCGACGGAACCTACCCCGCTCCCAACTCATCGCCAGTCCAAGCGCGCAGCGGCGCAATCGAAGGCCGTTCTCCCTCGCGGATCGTTCCTTTCCAGCTCGCGCCGTCGCGCGGTGCCCTGTGCATCTTGAACCACTCGTTGTTCCTCCTTTGCTCGCCCTGCAAAGTGTTCGACGCGCGACCTAGTTTTGTTGTTTTCCGCGTCTGCAGGACCTCTCAGATTGCTACCCTAGAGACTACCAAGGAGAATTTCGTTCTCGCTACAAGCGGTTTTGCGGAACTGAAAGAAGAGTCCACCATAGTACCGCTCGGAGCGCAGCGCGACCACCTGCGCCCTGTCGAGCCTACGAACGCTCGCCGTCGTTAGACTTGTCCACGTAGATTCGCCACAGATCCCGCGCGGCTCCCTTGTCACATTCGTTCTCAGCATCGCCGCAGCGACACCTCGCGTCGCGTTGCATCGCCATTAGTACCGCGTCACTAATGACAGCTCCGCGGCTCGCTGGCGCGGCAATCCAATCGTGCGCGTCCATCTGCGCTGCTGGTCGAATTCACATTTGCGGCCTACCCGTCCCTAGACGATTCACGCTACAAGTCCGACCCGCATGCCTCGCGGCCCGCCGTCGTCCACTGGGTCCGCGTGGCGGGACACGGCGCTGCTGCTTGTCGGCGCGCTGCTCTCGCTCGCGCAACACAGCACACCCTCGGTGCTGCCCGCGGTTGCTGCTGCCCCAGGTGCGTGAGATCACTGATTGCTCGTGTCGACTTCCAAAAAGGTCATCTGGCGGCACTTTTAGTTCCCTCAACGTGCGCCACATGTGCCGTCCCCATATACGCCTTCCCCACGCCCTGCGTGAATTCAGGGCAGAGTGGGTAGGTCGGCGTTATGTGGTGCAGTGGTGCAGGCCTCGCCGTGGCTCCACGTCACTGCACCGCTGCCATCGCGTGCACAGCGCTCCATGGCGCTCCCCTCCTCACGCGCTGCTCCCCTCCTCACGCGCTGCTCCCCTCCTCACGCGCTGCTCCCCCGCTGCTCTCCCGCTGCTCCCCTCCTCACGCGCTGCTCCCCTCCTCACGCGCTGCTCCCCTCCTCACGCGCTGCTCCCCTCCTCACGCGCTGCTCCCCTCCTCACGCGCTGGCCCACCTTGCTCTCCTCCCCGCACCCTGCGTGACTCCCCTCTCCTTCCGCCACCACTCAGATTCAACTCGGCCCTCTTCAACCCAATCCACCCTCCCCTCCGCTTCCCCACTTCCCCTGCGCCCCTTCCCCCCGTTCCCCCTTCCCTGTCTCCCGCGCACCCCTTGCAGTGACCCCAGGCGCCACCCCCAACAGCTTCTACCGCTACCACTACCACGTGCGCCGCCTCCCGCCCTTCCTGCGCAACCACCTCGCGCGTGCACAAGGCCAGGGGGGAGGGGGTGTTGGAGGGGGGGAAGGAGGCGGAGAGGGGAGCAGCGCTGTGCGGGCCGCGAGCATTGCGAGCAGCAGCGATGAAACGATTGTCCTCAGTAGCAGCAGCAGCAGCGGCGGCGGCGGCGGCGGCAGCAGCAGCAGCAGGAGCGGGGCTTTAGGCGGCATAGGTGGCGGCGGAGGGGGAGCGGGTGCCAGCGCGTACGAGCGGGCGCAGGCCGCCATGGCCGCGGCGAAGGCGCGCAGCAGCGCGTGGGGCAAGGAGATGCGCGGACGTGGGCGGACGGGCAAGAGGCGGCCGTGGGTGGATGTGTCGTGGGCCAATCACAGGCCGTTGGCTCAGGTGTACGAAGCTGATTGGCCCGCCAGCGCGGAGGAGGCGGGGATGACGGTCGACGGCGGCAGGGGCGCGGGCAGTGGCGCATGGCCGTTCGCTGAGCCGCGCATCAGCCCCCAGGCGATCAGTGAGTGGCGCGCGGGGGGGAAACAGGCGGAGGGTGGGGGAAGGGGGGGAATGAAGGAGGGCAAGGGGGATAGTGAGTGAAAAGGGGGGGTTAGGAGAGGAGGAGAGGGGATGGGTGGCTCGTGGGCGACGAGGCATGCGAGGCTTGAGTGCGGGTGAACGCGTGTGACACTGTGGGGGAGGGGAAGTGGGGTTCCGTGCAGGCGTGGTGTCATGTGATGGTGTGGTGTGGTGGGATGCCGTGTGATGTGTGGTGGTGTCATGCCTTGCCATATGGTGCTAGAGGGCCTAGTTGTGGTGTGATGTAATGTGGTTGTCACGTCATGCCATGTCATCCCACAACCCTACCCGCACCACCCCTACAGGGCAGCCGCCATCCAGCGGGTTACCATGCACGCTGCTCACCACAGCCATCACCATCCGAGTCACCTCAGAGGGCGACTTCCCCCGCCGCCTGCAGAACCACATCCTGCTCACGGCCCCGCTCGTGTTCAACGCCTCCTTCGCCTGCACCGTGCTGCGCTCCGCCCCCCGCCCCGCACGCGGGTTCCAGCTCACGCTCATGCGCACGGACGCGCCGCTGCTGCGGATAGCGGGCGCCAGCAACGTGCTGGTGCTGCACGTCTCCTTCTTCCAGCCCTACGCGCTTGACACCACCGCCTGCCAGGGCATCCCGTACATGGGCACTGACGTCATCTGCCCTGCCATCCACATCTACCAGGTGACGTCACCTGCTCTGCTACTCTACACCGCACACACATGAATGGAGCACCCCGCCACCATTTCGCCAACCACCCATGGCACGTGTGCTTTCGAAACTTATGAAAGCCATTCGCCCCCACTAGGCATGCCGGTGTGCAGGTAGCCAAGGCAGGGGCAGCCGCAGTTGTGGTGCGTGCATGCACACACGCGCCATCGCTTACGGCGTGTGGGCGTTCCTGCACCGCACTTGCATGACCCCCGCCCTCGCCATGCACTCCCCCATGCAGGCCGCACTCGAGCACCGGGCACTTATCGCATGCTCTCCACTACTCTTTCCTGCTGCTCCCTCTCCCCCCACCAGGCAGCAAACGTGCAAGTGGCGCGGGGCACGGTGTACGGCGGGGGGGACGGCATGAAGGTGACGGGCCTGGGCGGCTTGAGGCAATGGTCAGCACAGCACACACTCAAAGCGCTTGCTCCTTACTGCTCTACCCCCACCCCCCCACCCCCTCCCTCCCACCAGGCGGCCAACGTGCAGGTGGCACGGGGCACGGTGTACGGGCGGGTGGACGTGTATTGGTCGGTGGCGGTGCGAGTGGACGGCATGAAGGTGACTGGGCTTGGTCGGTGGCCTTCTGCAGCTCGCGCGTCCCCATGCTGCTGCCAGCTCGCGCGTCCCCATGCTGCTGCCAGCTCGCGCGTCCCCATGCTGCTGCCAGCTCGCGCGTCCCCATGCTGCTGCCAGCTCGCGCGTCCCCATGCTGCTGCCAGCTCGCGCGTCCCCATGCTGCTGCCAGCTCGCGCGTCCCCATGCTGCTGCCAGCTCGCGCGTCCCCATGCTGCTGCCAGCTCGCGCGTCCCCATGCTGCTGCCAGCTCGCGCGTCCCCATGGTACTGTTGGCAGCAGCAGGCAGCAGGGGCGACGGTGCGCACCACCCCGTGCTCATCCGCGCCTTCATCTTCCTTGTCACGCGCGCCTGCCTCACACCACGCCTCCCCTCCCTTCCCTCCCTTTCCTCCCCCCCTCCCTCCTCTCCCTCCCGTCCCTGCCCCCCGTCCCTGTCGCCATACCCCCAGGCGCGCGCTTCCCAATAGTGCTCTATTTCGGTGCGGTGGGAGTGACGGTGAGCAACAACTACGTGCACGACTTCATATTTGCGGGCATCGTGTACGGTGCGTTCGTGTCGTACGTGGGCGACTGCATGCTGGCCACCATATCCAACAACCTGGTGGTGGCCACGGGGCGCAACATCAGCGGGGACATGGACGCCTCCGGCATCTACTTCAACACCCACTGGTTCAACCCCGGTCAGTGCCTTGCCTTGCCTTGCCTTGCCTTGCCTTGCCTTGCCTTGCCCTGCCCTGCCCTGCCCTGCCCCGCCCCGCCCCGCCCCGCCCCGCCCCGCCCCGCCCCGCCCCGCCCCGCCCCGTCCCGCCCCGCCCCGCCCCGCCCCGCCCCGCCCCGCCCCGCCCCGCCCCGCCCCGCCCCGCCCCGCCCCGCCCCGCCCCGCCCCGCCCCGCCCCGCCCCGCCCCGCCCCGCCCCGCCCCGCCCCGCCCCGCCCCGCCCCGCCCCGCCCCGCCCCGCCCCGCCCCGCCCCGCCCCGCCCTGCCCTGCCCTGCCCGTGCCACGACTGAGTGCAACACTACTGGGTGTGTCAACTCCGGTCATTGCTGCACCGTGCCATGCCGCACCATCTCATGCCGTGCCGTGCCGTGCCATGCCGTGCCGCCAATCTGACATCGTCCCTGCCGGCCGCCACCCTTGGCCGCAGCCTGGATTGTCACACTCTACCCGTGCACGGGTCCCATGGCCCGCCCACCTTTGCTCCCTGCGCCAGGCAACCTGGCGGCGGAGTGCTGTGACGTCATTGGCAGCAACCACCGCTGCCACCTGTCTCTCAGGCGCCTCACGGCAGGCAACTTAGCGGAGGGCAATTACATGATCGGCGACCAATGATACCACCTCCATCCATGCACCACCAGCCCTCAAACTCGCCCTAAGCAGCATGCATGTCCCATCACACCCCCTCCTTTGCCCCCCCTCGCCCCACGGCAACAGGCAACCTAGCGGAGTGCAACTACGTGATTGGCGGCGACCAGTGCTACTACCTCGACTTTGCATCGTCGGGTGTCACCATCCGGGGAGGCGCGTGCATTGACACGTATGCGGGCATGAAGGTCAACAACGGCAAGAGGTAAGATGGGGGGGTTGCGGTGTGACATTAAGGAGGGTGAGACTGTACGAGTGGCAATGTCGGAGTTGTCACTGTAGCGGCGAGGCGAGGTGGAAGTAGCGAGTGATGCTTGTATGGAGCACCTCTGTACAGTGCAACAATGTCCATTGGCATTCCTCACTGCTCTTCGTGTTTCTCTCATCCCCCCCACCCTCCCTGCGCCCCTTAACAACTGGGCAGCAACGTGATAGAGGATGTGATTATAAAGAACACACGGTGGACACCAGGTTGGTCGACATGCCTGCCAGCAGAGGTGGTGAACTGCGGCAAGAAGCCCGGGTCATACTGGGAGCAGATGCGACGTAAATACTACAACTCGGCCCAGATGAACCAGGTGCGTGCACGATGAACCACAGCAGCACAGCACCCCGTGCTCCCTCAGTGTGCGTCACCACGTGTCCCTCTCGTGCACGAGAAGCCCGGGTCGTGCTGGGAGCAGATGCGACGTAAATACTACAACTCCGCTCAGATCAACCATGTGCTCTTCCCAGCACCACAGCAAGCAACCCCCCGCTCCCTCGGTGTGCTGCAGCAGCATGTGTGCCTCTCATGCTCCCCACACACCCTCCACATTGCCCGCCCACCCCACTTCCACTCGTTCACTCTCTTTTGTTGATCCACAACCCTCTGCTGGCATACACACATGGCCAGCAGAGGGCCTCCATCATTGTCTGCCATCTCACCCGCCCTCCTCATCTCTCCTCCTCACCCTTCTCTCCGCACCACCCCCTGCACCCCCCTCCGCCATCCCCCTATCCACATCAGAACTGGCCGTGGATGCAAACAGCGTGTTCCGAGACGGGAGTGTACGGCGTGCCATGCAACACCAACGCGCGTGGCACGCTCAACGCAACGCAGACGGGCAAGTGCAGCGGTCTCCCTACGCGCAACTCGCTCATGCTCGTGCTCGTGAGCGCACTCGACTACGACATGGACTTCAAGTACTGTGAGGACCTGCCCAACACGCCGCGCCTCAACTCGCACCGCTACATCAACGTCACGAGTGTCGCCGACGCGCAGTTCCTGGATTTCGTGGAGGACGATTTGGGTGTGAAAAAAGGGTCGTCACTTTACAAGGCCCGGCCGAATTTCAAGAGCTGCCCGAGAAGTGATGTTGGGCCGAAAAAACTTTTGGAGAGGTCTTACTACGAGAGCTTTAATAAGGCTATTCCTGATGTTTATTACGTTACATTAGGTATGGGAACCCTGCATATCCACGACCCAACCCTTCTAGTGGGCAGTAATAAAATGTAAATAGCCATCAAAGTTAATGTTATTGTACATCCATGTGAGGACTACTGTATAATAAAAGCTACTGTACATGCCATACAAGGCACGTCAACCGGACTTGTTTACTTAAACATATGCACTGCACTACCTAGACCTACCTAGCACACCTGATACCGTACATATTCTGTTCAGCAGACCTGAAAGCCCTGCTCGCTCGGTGCTGCCGTACAGGCCTGCCTCTTGTATCTTCTCCAGCCACCGTGTGTGGCACAAGGGGAATTGGTGAGGTGACTGTTGCGTTCACTGTGTTCACTCAAGTCAGTGGGTCTGTGCGCTTGTAGAGGCGGGCTGCACGGATGTGCGCCAGCACTGCATCTGGCACGAGGTACTTGGCTGACTGTCCCCGCTGTAACAGCCGCCTGCAGGCATGCACACAGGCGCACGAGAGGCATGCCATGAGTGCAGTGCGGTGGAGTGAGTCCAAGTGATGTGGTGCAGGGGAGGGTTTTGACTAAGAGGGGCGATGGGGCAAGCGCAAGGGCACAGCAAGGGGAAGCGTAAGGGCAAAGCAAACATAGTGGGTACCCAAAATGCTTAGCTGGAGTGCAAAACGAATTATGGCTGTCGAATAGAGTGAGTGAGCTGGGGTAGGAAGGTATAAATTCGACTTCAGTGCAAGGGTGCAAGAGTTATGCTGATAGGCGCAAGGGGGCAAGGGGGTGGGGCATGGGGCAGTGCGGAGACGGAGGAAGGGGGGGGCAGAAGCAGGGTGCAGGAGGCGAGGGGGAGGTACCTGATGTGGGAGGAGCTGACGTTGTTCTCTATAGGCTGATCCACTATAAGGATGTTGTGCTGGTGGTACAGGGAAGGAAAAGGACACGATGGAAGAGGCGGGTGAGGAGGCCAGGGCCAGTTGTCATCCCGGCCCTGCATCCGCGCACCGCACACCAGCATTTCTTCGAATGTGCAGGGGAAAGCAAGGGCACTATCCAAGGGCATGGAGCAAAGCAGGTGGCAGTATGAGCAGAGCAGGAATGGTGAGAGGCGCCGTGGTGCCGCACCTCACAGGTGCATGCACGCGTGCACACACACACACACAAGTGTGAGCGCCCACGGCCCTGTGGTCATGGGAACGCGTGAGAGCGGGAGTATGCATGCACACACAACACGCACCAAGACACAACAGGCAGTCACACAGACCAGTGAGGCCACTGGCACTAACACTGTCACGCATGCACTGTGCTCCCTGGCTCCTCCACTTCCTCTCTTCCTCTCTCCCCACTTCCTCTCCCCCCCCCCACCCCCCCACTTCCTCTCCCTCACTCCTTCAATCTCCCGCTCCCTTCCTCCCTCCCTCCATCGTTACCTCTCTCCTCTCCCACTCCCCCAAACTCCCTCACACCCGTGCCACGGACTCACGCGGTGGCGGTGCAGAACGTGAGAGTGCAGCACGAGTTGGTGCGCATCAGCGCCATGCCGTGCGATGCACACCACACGGTGCGCTCCCAGCACCTCCTCCACCTGCCATCATGCCGTGGTGGGTGGGGCGCATGGTGTGTGGGGTGCATGGTGGGTGTGACAGCATCACTCACATGTGACAGCACCACTCACATGTGACAGCACCACTCACATGTGACAGCACCACTCATATGGTGCTGAGATGCATGGTGCTGAGATGCATGGTGCTGAGATGCATGGTGCTGAGATGCATGGTGCTGAGATGCATGGTGCTGAGATGCATGGTGCTGAGACGCATGGTGCTGAGATGCATGGTGCTGAGATGCATGGTGCTGAGATGCATGGTGCCTGAGATGCATGGTGCTGAGATGCATGGTGCTGAGATGCATGGTGCTGAGATGCATGGTGCTGAGATGCATGGTGCTGAGATGCATGGTGCTGAGATGCATGGTGCTGAGATGCATGGTGCTGAGATGCATGGTGCTGAGATGCATGGTGCTGAGATGCATGGTGCTGAGACGCATGGTGCTGAGATGCATGGTGCTGAGATGCATGGTGCTGAGATGCATGGTGCTGAGATGCAATGCAAGAAGGCATGCTAGTGCCCGCATGCATACCACTTTCCCATACTCGTTATACGCGCACCTGTTTCCCGTACTGGTCATTGACAGGCGACATGTAAGCGCCAATCACGTCCCACCCGCGGTCTTGCAGGGCATCGCGCGCCATCTCTGCTGAACCGAGGGAGGGGCGGCAAGGCAAGGCCAGCAGGTGGGTTCCACACAATTAAATCGAACAAACCTGACAAGTAAGTGGTAGTCAGGGCCCTTATGAAAAGGCCTGGGGACGAAGCAGATTGGCGACTAGCAGGTGGATGGAGGGTGCAGGAGCAGGTGGATGGAGGGTGCAGGAGCAGGTGGATGGAGGGTGCAGGAGCAGGTGGATGGAGGGTGCAGGAGCAGGTGGATGGAGGGTGCAGGAGCAGGTGGATGGAGGGTGCAGGAGCAGGTGGATGGAGGGTGCAGGAACAGGTGGATGGAGGGTGCAGGAGCAGGTGGATGGAGGGTGCAGGAGCAGGTGGATGGAGGGTGCAGGAGCAGGTGGATGGAGGGTGCAGGAGCAGGTGGATGGAGGGTGCAGGAGCAGGTGGATGGAGGGTGCAGGAGCAGGTGGATGGAGGGTGCAGGAGCAGGTGGATGGAGGGTGCAGGAGCAGGTGGATGGAGGGTGCAGGAACAGGTGGATGGAGGGTGCAGGAGCAGGTGGATGGAGGGTGCAGGAGCAGGTGGATGGAGGGTGCAGGAACAGGTGGATGGAGGGTGCAGGAGCAGGTGGATGGAGGGTGCAGGAGCAGGTGGATGGAGGGTGCAGGAACAGGTGGATGGAGGGTGCAGGAGCAGGTGGATGGAGGGTGCAGGAGCAGGTGGATGGAGGGTGCAGGAGCAGGTGGATGGAGGGTGCAGGAGCAGGTGGATGGAGGGTGCAGGAGCAGGTGGATGGAGGGTGCAGGAGCAGGTGGATGGAGGGTGAAGGAGCAGGTGGATGGAGGGTGCAGAAACAGGTGGATGGAGGGTGCAGGAGCAGGTGGATGGAGGGTGCAGGAGCAGGTGGATGGAGGGTGCAGGAACAGGTGGATGGAGGGTGCAGGAGCAGGTGGATGGAGGGTGCAGGAGCAGGTGGATGGAGGGTGCAGGAGCAGGTGGATGGAGGGTGCAGGAGCAGGTGGATGGAGGGTGCAGGAGCAGGTGGATGGAGGGTGCAGGAGCAGGTGGATGGAGGGTGCAGGAGCAGGTGGATGGAGGGTGCAGGAACAGGTGGATGGAGGGTGCAGGAGCAGGTGGATGGAGGGTGCAGGAGCAGGTGGATGGAGGGTGCAGGAGCAGGTGGATGGAGGGTGCAGGAGCAGGTGGATGGAGGGTGCAGGAACAGGTGGATGGAGGGTGCAGGAGCAGGTGGATGGAGGGTGCAGGAGCAGGTGGATGGAGGGTGCAGGAGCAGGTGGATGGAGGGTGCAGGAGCAGGTGGATGGAGGGTGCAGGAGCAGGTGGATGGAGGGTGCAGGAGCAGGTGGATGGAGGGTGCAGGAGCAGGTGGATGGAGGGTGCAGGAACAGGTGGATGGAGGGTGCAGGAGCAGGTGGATGGAGGGTGCAGGAGCAGGTGGATGGAGGGTGCAGGAGCAGGTGGATGGAGGGTGCAGGAGCAGGTGGATGGAGGGTGCAGGAGCAGGTGGATGGAGGGTGCAGGAGCAGGTGGATGGAGGGTGCAGGAGCAGGTGGATGGAGGGTGCAGGAGCAGGTGGATGGAGGGTGCAGGAACAGGTGGATGGAGGGTGCAGGAGCAGGTGGATGGATGGGGTGCAGGAGCAGGTGGATGGAGGGTGCAGGAGCAGGTGGATGGAGGGTGCAGGAACAGGTGGATGGAGGGTGCAGGAGCAGGTGGATGGAGGGTGCAGGAGCAGGTGGATGGAGGGTGCAGGAGCAGGTGGATGGAGGGTGCAGGAGCAGGTGGATGGAGGGTGCAGGAGCAGGTGGATGGAGGGTGCAGGAGCAGGTGGATGGAGGGTGCAGGAGCAGGTGGATGGAGGGTGCAGGAGCAGGTGGATGGAGGGTGCAGGAGCAGGTGGATGGAGGGTGCAGGAGCAGGTGGATGGAGGGTGCAGGAACAGGTGGATGGAGGGTGCAGGAGCAGGTGGATGGAGGGTGCAGGAGCAGGTGGATGGAGGGTGCAGGAGCAGGTGGATGGAGGGCGCAGGAACAGGTGGATGGAGGGTGCAGGAGCAGGTGGATGGAGGGTGCAGGAGCAGGTGGATGGAGGGTGCAGGAGCAGGTGGATGGAGGGTGCAGGAACAGGTGGATGGAGGGTGCAGGAGCAGGTGGATGGAGGGTGCAGGAGCAGGTGGATGGAGGGTGCAGGAGCAGGTGGATGGAGGGTGCAGGAGCAGGTGGATGGAGGGTGCAGGAGCAGGTGGATGGAGGGTGCAGGAGCAGGTGGATGGAGGGTGCAGGAGCAGGTGGATGGAGGGTGCAGGAACAGGTGGATGGAGGGTGCAGGAGCAGGTGGATGGAGGGTGCAGGAGCAGGTGGATGGAGGGTGCAGGAGCAGGTGGATGGAGGGTGCAGGAGCAGGTGGATGGAGGGTGCAGGAGCAGGTGGATGGAGGGTGCAGGAGCAGGTGGATGGAGGGTGCAGGAGCAGGTGGATGGAGGGTGCAGGAGCAGGTGGATGGAGGGTGCAGGAACAGGTGGATGGAGGGTGCAGGAGCAGGTGGATGGAGGGTGCAGGAGCAGGTGGATGGAGGGTGCAAGAGCAGGTGGATGGAGGGTGCAGGAGCAGGTGGATGGAGGGTGCAGGAGCAGGTGGATGGAGGGTGCAGGAGAAGGTGGATGGAGGGTGCAGGAGCAGGTGGATGGAGGGTGCAGGAGCAGGTGGATGGAGGGTGCAGGAGCAGGTGGATGGAGGGTGCAGGAGCAGGTGGATGGAGGGTGCAGGAACAGGTGGTTGGAGGGTGCAGGAGCAGTTGGATGGAGGGTGCAGGAACAGGTCTCGCTCAATGCGCAGACGAGGCCCAGTGAGCTTTCGTATGGAGTGGCGAGACTCATTGGTTGAGTGAGCTTGCGTGCTATGGAAGGAAGGAAAGAACGACCGTACGCCACCCCCACAAGCACGCCATTCCAAGGCTCGAAGCGGCTCCTGGCTGAGAAGAAGAAACAGCGATGGCTCTCTGGCAACTGAGATGAACACGGATGGCTTTCAGTGATCTAAGCTGAGGCGACTCCCCGTGGACCCACGCCACCAGCCATGCACCCACTCACCCACCCACCCAGCATCCTCAGGTGCATGATCGTGGGCGGGTTGAAGCTTCCAGGAAGCAGCAGCACCGCCTGAGGGTGATCGCCAGGGGGCCGCCCCTTGAATAACGAGTTGCCGGCTGTCGTCTCTCGGCCTCCCAGTGCCTGCCACGTGGCACATGAGCTTGTCTAGAGGCAGGGGGACGTGAAGAGTGCCTGATGCGACACGCACGAGGGCGAAGAGAGGGGCACGGGTTGGGACGTGACAAGGCAGGGCGAGCAGCAGGGCATGCGAGGGAGGAGGGAGGGAAGAGGAAGACGAGGTGTTATCAGGAGGACTCAAACGAGTAATTCACTTAAAGAAGCGAAGAGGCATGGTTAGGTGAATGCTATACATCCAACTGACGTCAATTCCTCCTCGTGCGGGAACTGCTTAGACGCGCGACGCGAGGAGCTGAGTAGTGCTTTGGGCGAAGCAGCTCAATGAGCATAAATCCAACGGATCATGGCATGAAATGACTGCAGCTAACCAGTCTTTATTCGAGCTGAATTCGCTCGAGTTGAGAGCCACACCCACCGCATGACAGCTCTGCACTGGGATTCCTGCCACCACCGCCGCCGTCACTACTGTCGCTGCGATCCCGTGCGTCATCGCCGCCGCACCTCGACTTCGGCTCCTCGCGTTCGTCGCCGGCTGACGCTGGTGCTGCGGACGACCTTGCCGGAGCTGTTTCTAACGAGGTTGATGCTGCAGCAGCGGCGACACACGCGGTGGCGGCTGCAGCGGCGCGCAGTGCGGGGAGGCGAGCTCGGAGCATGGAGGTGAAGGCGCCAGCCATCGCGTGTCCTCTGGATGGACGGAAACGAGAACGGAACACAATTGAATGCGTCACGACTCACGTGAGCCATGGAGATTGCGGATTGTCAACCGCTGGACTGTGAAGCCCGATACAAACCACAAGTGCTTGATAGATATGCGTGTAACATCACCAAAATGCCAAGTGATCTATACAACATCAACAATGTAAGCATTGATTGTGAAAATCAGTACCAATTCGAGGAGGATTGACGAATGCCCTTATTTTTTGCGAACCTATCTTTATTCCAAAGTGTAAATCTAAAAACAAGGTAACAAAACACCAAAGTTAATCCCCTTGTTAGAAAGAAAATGTATGTCGAGAAACACGTGCTGTCAGTGGCACACGGGCTGCAGCGGCTGTGCTCTGAGTGCATCGAAGTCGAGACTAGAGTCTAGGTCCTCGTCCAACTCGCCCACCACCGCTCTGCATCGCATTGCACAAGGGTGCACACAGATTGGGTGGGGGAAAAACAATGGGGTGAGGAGAAGGCAAGAGGAGGTGCACAGGTGGACAGAGAAGAGGAGGGTAGTGGGGAGAGGGAGAAGGCACAGAGGAGGGGGGACTGTGAGGAACGGGTACTTGATCGACAAGAGAGTGGAAAACTTTTACCAGCACAATGGTACACTCGTCTTCATCACCCCCTCATGTCTCGCCCATGCCCCCATCAACCTCTCATGTCCCGCGCATGCCCCCATCACCCATGTCCCCATCACCCGCTCATGGCCTAATGTCCCCCCCATGTCCCTCTCAAGCAGCGCACATGTTATCGCCTCGTATAATGTACAGCCCCAGCACCAGCTGCTCCACGCCATGCTGCACAGCCAAGGGAGAGATGTGAACAAAGAGGGGCACACAGGGAGGCTTTCTGAGGCGCAGCAAATCAGCACCGCCAGCTGCTAGTGAGCACGAAGGCACCACTGCTCGCTGCAGGGCGGTATGCGAGAGAAGCGAGGGGATCGTCAAAGAAGAGAAGGCTTCATGATTTGTCTGGTACAAGTGAGAGGGAATGGGAGAGGAAGCAAAGGTATGGCGTGTAGGCAGATAGCAAGTGAGAGAATGCAGGATCTGAGGAAATATGGCTTGGCAGCCGAATGTGGAGGACTTGCGCAGAGGCATGCCACTGACAACTGAGGACAAGGCAGGGCGACACGCAAATGAGAACGAGAGAGGAAGCGGACCAAGAGTGAAAGAAGGGCAGGGGGCATGAGGGCGGCTCAGACAGACAGAACACCATGAGGGAGAGGGTGGATGCCGTGAAAAAAAGGATACAGGGCATGAACTGGCATGGGGCTGCTGTGGGAGTGAAGATGGGCGGCTGGGAGGCGGGCTTGCCTTGGTGGAGTAGACGCGCTCGTGTGACTCGTCCAGAATGATGTTGGTCGCCTGGTCAAACCCCTTCAGCACCCCCTGCACATGCCAGCACGCGGACACATGCGGATAGCATGGGAGGTGTGATGTGAGAATGCACGTGCAGGCACTTCAAGTTCAAGGCATCCCCAGCTTCAGGTGGAATGGTGAATGAGGCAAAAAAACGAAGGCTGACAATTGCGGCAGCAGCGTATCAAGAAGTTTGAGTTTCCTGACAGAACAAGCTCCCACACACCACGATGTTGCGGCCGTCGTTGGTTATCACCGACACAGTCACTGCACCCGCGCACACAGCCACACCCACCCACCCCCCCCTCTCTCCTCCCCTCCGCGGACACCAACTCCCCCAACACACTCCCCTTCCCCTCCGCACAGCCCCTTTCCTCCCCACGTCGCACCCTCCATTAGCCCCCGCACAGTGGTACCTCGCGCGCACCATCAACCACACAAGCACATGCACCAGCAGCACACGCAAACACACGGACTTTAGCGACGTGTCTAGAAAGTCACGACGAATCGCGCACAGAAGTGAAGGGAAGAGAAATCAAGAGAGGGGATGCGAGGTGAACTGGCAGGTTGCAATGCGAGCGAATCACGGGATTGCATTAACAGGGAGTAGGGAAGCGGCGAAGGGAAGCGACTCACGGTCTACGTACGGCTCGAGGCCCGTCTCCTTCCCCTCCTTCCCTGCCATTCCGCAGGTATACACGCAGCCGCTCAGCAGGTAGTTCGCGGCACGGCTGGTCAGCTGGTCAGCCGGTCAGCCGGTCAGCAGGCCCGTCAGCCCGTCAGCCCGTCAGCAGGTACACAGAACGGGTCTGCAGGTACGCACCGCCAGTCAGCAAATACGTCGGTGAGCTGCAGAGTCCTCGTAAAGAGCCGCGGGAATCCTAAATCGCGGTTGAGCCTACGATGAGATTAGACGTTGGGAAGAATGAGGCACTTTGGAGTGCTAGAGCAACGGCAAGCTCAGGTCAGTCATTAGCAGCGTATTTGCTTCTATCAGCTCGACCGCTGGGGAGATGCTTGTGCGGCTTGGAGGCAGGAGTCTAGGTAGAATCTAGGTCTGATGAAGATCTGTCAACTACACTGAAGTACTTACACGCGTGGTATGTGAAGTGCTTAGCGCAAGCCTAGTTGAGGTCTTGATTTACAGGAGAACGTCATCTGCACAGCTCAAAGCCCGAGTCCCAAATTGCGAGGCGCGTGGGTCATGCTTGGGTCACGGTGCACATTTGCCACCCAAAACCCAGAACCCTGGCGAACTGTTACTGCGGATGGAAAGTGTCCGCACGAAATCCTGGTTTTCGCCAGCCAGCACTTTCGCGCTGGCAAGCCTGGTTCAAAAAAAAAACTTCTGAACCCAACACTGCCAAAAGTTGCCCGTCGCTTTAAATCTTGACGAAGTGCAGTGTGCAAGCTTTGAAAAAAAACACACCTGCAATTTGGGACTTTCGGGGACTGACCCAACCCCCAGGGCGAAATACGAGGGCTGGCTGGGTTTGGCGAAAAATACGACTTTCACGAAATCGGAATCACTCGCCAAAACCCAAACCAGAAAAACCCACTCGCGTCAACCTTTTAAAACTTGTGCAATTTGAAACTTTACCCAGAGGCATCAGTGTAGGTATATTTTTTACCCTGATTGTACTGTAGGTGCTAGCAGCAACCAAGCTGGAGGCCCAAATTGCGCAAGATGGGCACTGGTGGGTGGGGGTTGTTGTGAAAGTCGAACGCAGTGGCTTGTCTGGTTTCACTGAGTCAGCAGGCTTCCCGGGGGGAACATGTGTTTGGGGACCTCGATCGAGTGGAGTCGAGGGAATTGAAGTCCTGCAGTGAGTGCAGCTTCGACCAATCAGGTTGCAGTTTTTGCTTCGTGTAGGTTGCAAGCAGACACGGAGTGACGCGGTGTCGGTCGTCAGTACTCACGTGCTGCCGTCGTAGTGCATCATTACGAAATTAGGTGTACCGTTATGAAATTTCGGAGAACCATCTCGATAGGTAGAGTTTCCGAAAAGGGGGGGGGGGGGGGTTGGGTGGGGGGGAAGGGGGGGGGGGGGTTGGGGGGGGTGGTTCCCTGTACGCTGTTCAGGGTAATCTTCGCTAAGGAAAATTTTACCCCAGAGCATCAGTGTGGCCTAAATCATTACACTGACATATCAGTGTAACACTAATCCCCCAAAAAATTACCCCAGCCCATCAGTGTAGACTGAAAATTTCACCCTTCTCATCAGTGGAGAAGGGTAAATTACACTGCAAACCTGAGCCCTGGTTGAGATCACTAGATCATAATAGACAAACTCTGAGAAAGGAATGTGTGGAAGAATTGCATAGTGACGCGGATACACACACTTCGCGGACGGCAAACACGATGAGGAAGTGAATGACCAAGCCATTTTGTCTGTTCTGGAGGTGCCCTTACTAAGTCAATAGACATGGTAAATGGCTTGGTCATTCAAGCCTGTAACTGCTGTGGAAAATGAGTGGTGGGCAAAACGGAAAACAAGATGAACAAAACGGGATGAAGGGAATAAACTACGAGAACACCATGTGGGACTGAACGGCATCGAATGTGGTGAACGGAAGCAGGCCATATAAAGCATGACGCCTGAGGGAATAGATGGGAAATTGTAGAAGAATGAAGTGGAGGGAGAGCGAGAAGCAGGGTTGTGGGGGAGAAACATAACTCAGGGGTAAGAGAGGTGAGCAAGTGGGACAGGGTGAGCTGGGGGTACGTGAGTGAGTAGGGTGGGCAGAGAGTGAGAAAGGGGGATGGGAGAGCTCAGGGATAAAAAGAACGAATAGGGGTAAGATAGTGAGCTTGGGGGAAGTTTGTGAGTAGGGCTGCAGGGAATGAGAGTAGGGCAATGGGAGGTACACAGTGAGCAGGGGGAAATTGCCGTGATCAGGAGGAAACAGAGCAACCTTAGGGAAAGCGGGATGGGAGGGGGATACAGAGCACCGAGACGGGAAGAGAGTGAGGAGGAGGGTTTAGAGCGAGCAGAGTGAAAGAGAGTGTTGGTGTTGGAAGTAGAGCAAGCATAGGTGAAGAGAGTGCGTAGGGTGGAGAATGAGGGGGGACATTGGATTAGGGTAATGCTCAGGGTTGACAGAGGGGAAAAAAAGTTTGTGCCACGTACCAAAACTATGGCTTGCGAAGATGATGAGGAATTGTATGACCAAGCCGTTTAGTCTGTATTTGCGGAGCCCGTACACGGTCAATAGACATAAATGGCTTGGTCATACAAGCCTGTAACTGCGGTGGATAACCGGGGTTGGCAAAGAGAACATTGGAACAAGACGTGGGAAGGGCGGGTTGATGACACAAGATTGGTGGGCTGCCGGAATACGGTTTTGGCCTAAACGGGAATAAGCAATAAAAAGCAAGGGGGCTAGTGGTAACATGAGGGAAAGGTGGAGTCGAGAGTAAGGGAGGCAGGGGAAAATATGAGGTTTAGATGTTGTTAGCAGGGCTGCAAGCCGAAACCCAAGGTAAGTGGGTAAGAGAGTGAGCTGGGGGAAGAGAGAGGGCAGAGGGGAAGACAGTGTGCAATGGGGAGGGAGATAGCAGGGGAAGAGATGCGCACAGGAGATAATGAGAGTGAACAAAGTGGACGAGTGTCGGTAGGGGGATGGGGCAGCACAGTGAGCAAGTGGAGAACGCCGTGATTAGGGGGAAACATAGCAAGCTGAGAGGAATATAGTTGGTAGGGAGAAACAAAGCCCCGTGACGGGAAGCAAGTGAGTATGAGGGAAGAGATCGAGCAGAGAGAAAAGGAGTGAGCTGGGGGTAGTTGTGCAAGCTGAGGGCAAGAGGATGAGTATGGGGGGAAACTGAGGGTGGACAGAGGTTTAACATAATGCGTGGGTGAGGGCGGCACGGTAAGTACCACGTACCAGAACAATGGGTGTGAATGCTGTGGTCATCCGCTCTTGCCTTCAACCCTCAGCGTGCGTTAGTCAGGTCACCTTGTGTATTAGAATGCGTATGTGAGAGATTGAAACAAGGCACACAATGATGAGCGTTGCGCATTTGTCATATAAGCTTAACAATGCCGGTAATGGACATGACACGTACACAGAGTAAGCAATGGGGAAGAGAGTGAGCAGGGGGAAACAGAATAAGCAATGGGGAAGAGAGTGAGCAGGGGGAAACAGAATAAGCAATGGGGAAGAGAGTGAGCAGGGGGAAACAGAATAAGCAATGGGGAAGAGAGTGAGCAGGGGGAAACAGAATAAGCAATGGGGAAGAGAGTGAGCAGGGGGAAACAGAATAAGCGATGGGGAAGAGAGTGAGCAGGGGGAAACATCGCGAGCAGGAGGAAGAGAGCGCGCAGAGGGAAGAGAGCGCGCAGAGGGAAGAGAGCGCGCAGGGGGAAGAGAGCGCACAGAGGGAAGAGGGCGCATAGAGCCGTAGTTTTTTCGCATGGGAGGACGTGGCTGAGAGTGAATCTTGGGGAAATGGAGGAGCTGGTAAACACGGGCATTGGGGAGGGTTGAGAAGGTGGCGGGGGGGGGGGGGGGGAGGGGGGACGGGGGGGAACCGAGGGCGACGACGCGAGGGAGGGGAATGGGCATGAGCGACGGGGGAAGGAAGCGAGGGCGAAGAAGAGGGGAAGCTCGAAGAACAGTCAGCTGCGGGAATGAGAGCGACGTCGACGCAGCGGCAGGTGGGAGAGGACAGAGGGACGGGGAGATGAGGCATGGGGAGATGCGCTCTCAGGAAGAGGGAGAATGCGGTGGGTAAATGCGGGTGACGGTTCGGGGAGATGCGGGCGACAGGAAGGGGAATTGCGGGTGACGGGCAGAGGAAATGCGGGCGAAGGGATGGCGAAATGTCGGCGATGGGCAGGGGAAATGCGGGATGGAGAAGGGAGGGCGACGGGATGGAGAAGGGAGGGCGACGGGATGGCGAAGGGTAGACGACGGGACGCTGAAGTGATGGCGATGGGAAGGGGCAGGGTGGAGCGGAGGGTCGCGTAGAGTACATAGAAGCTTCCTACTACGAGCGTTTTCTTACAGGTCAGTCGCCCTTTCTCTACGAGCAGAACCCCATCCGCATTACGCGCCCTTGGTCGGTATCTATGGCGTTTTCGCACCCTGGAAACTGTAAGATTTGAAGCGCAATGTCTAGCATCACTTTGTGTGCTGCCGCTTGGAGGACTCTAGGATTCTATACTTTCGTGACTAAGTTAGTAGCAATGTCACGCTGTTTTTTTGTCGAGGGAGGGTTGTAGGTCACATGCCCTCTGACTCGTTGTTTTGGTTTCCGTCGCCCAAATATAGTGTTGCGACACTTGTGTGTTCGCAAATTGGTTTCGCCAGCCAAAAGTGTCCCCAACCCACCCGAACCTCACATTGTCCCCTTCCCAAACCAAGGGTTGACTCGTTTTTGTAATTCAGGCTTCGGGTTTTAACCGCATTTGTTTTTGCGAAGGTCAATGGCGCTCACCATTAGTACGCACGCGACTGTACTAGTTCCGCGACCGTCCACTTGTCGCTCCAATCCGGTGACTCTCAATTCCGCAACGCGCGTGCGAAATAGTCGTACGCGGTCTACGGCCTTTTATTTTTCGCAAAACTCTTCGCCGCACATCGCCGACCTCAGCACATGCACCCACCGCAGCAAGCGGCGCAACTTCCGCCACAAGCGCGCTCGCAATTTGCAATGCTCCGCCTCATGCGCCGCATCCCCCGCCGAACCGTCAGCTCCAGCTAGGATTCCGTCTCTTGACGAACTCCGTCGAATGCTGGAGCAGACGGAGAGAGCAACGTTGACGGAGAGAGCAGAGACGGAGGGAAACGGAGGATCAGAAGGAGAAGGAATCGACGGTGAAGGCGGGAGAGTGTGGGAGAATGTGGCAAAGGCTTCTACGCGGCGGTTCGGGCAGAACGAAGGCGAGGAGGTGCGGGTGGTGCTGTATCGCGACGACGCCGCGTGGTGCCCCTTCTGCCAGCGCGTGTGGCTGCAGCTCGAGGAGAAGCGCATTCCGTACCGGTGAGAACGGATATTGTGAAGGTGAGAACGGATTTCGTACACAGGTAAGATGAAAAGAGTTTTTGCAAAAATAAGATGGTGCTGCTCGTCATCACTTGCACCCCTATTCTTTCATTTCCCTCCCTCTCCCCGCCTTCTTGTGGCGGGGTTCACTCTCCCTGCTCCCTGCTCCAATCCTCCCTACTTTGATTCTCCTTTGCGTCTCTCCCTTCGCCTCTGCCTCTCTCCCCTCTCCTCTGTAGTTTTCCTCTCTCCTATCGTCCCCCTCAAGATCATGCCCCTCGAATGCCTTTAGCATGGAGAGAATGTACCTCGAGTGCTTCGGGAGAAATCTCTCAGCTTCGGCCTTCTCCCCTCTCCTCATCCCTCCCCTCTCCCCTTGTATCCCCCATTCCATTCTCCCCACCCTCTCCCAACCCTCCAACACGTTCAGGGTTGAGAAAATAAACCTCAAGTGCTACGGGCCAAAGCCTGATTGGTTCTTGGAGCTCGTGCCCAATGGCATGCTGCCAGCTGTCCAGGTGAACGCGGTGGCTTGGTGGTGTGTGTGTTTGTTGGTGCAGCCTGTCGGCTCTCTGGTTGTTTGAGAACGTGCTGTTTTCATTCTTCAGTTTTCAGGCAACTGTGCGGTTGGCTACTCCTCTCAACTCTCTCAAACCTCTCAACTCTCTCAAACCTCTCAACACTGCGCATATGCTCACATAGCACTGCTGCCCCACCTACTCACCCACTTTTTTTTTTTTTTTTTTTATGTGTCTCATGTTTATGTTCATCCACCGCTGTAACCTTTGAATCACGGATCACGCAGTCTTTGTGACGTGATTATAACGCAACACATCCCACCAATACCAGCTCCCGGCACCTCCTGTTTCGCTCTATTGCCACCCCACCACCCAGCTAGACGGGCGAGTGATCACAGAGTCCGTGACTATAATGAAGGAGATCGAAGCTGCCTTCCCAAGCCACTCGTCGCTCCTCCCCCCTCCCTCCGATACACATGCTTCAGCGGCAGCAGAGCAGATGATGGGTCTGGAGAGGGGGTTGACTCGGGCGTGGCTCAAGTGGACCAAGGGAAAGGATGCGATGCGCTGGCTTGCCGGTGGTAGCGGGGCTGGAAGCAGCAAAACTGGGAGCAGCAGCAGCAGTGGTGAGGGTGCAGACAATGAGGAGGAGAGAGAGGGGCGGATGGAGTTTAAAGCGGCGATGGATGCCATGGAAGCGGCACTGATGAAGAGCGGAGGGCCTTACTTCCTTGGGAGAGAGGTTCGTCTGTCAGTTTCACTGACTACACTTAATCTCGCTTATATGACAGTCACTCTCATGTTCATCACAGCACGGTCACTCTTACATTGATCACATTCAATCTCACAGTAAGGCCACCAAGTTTTGCCATACTTTAGCCGAATGGTGCAGTATTCACCTACCATGCTTTCATACCAAATACCATCCATTGTGCTTTCAAACTACTTAGCAAGTGCAACTATATTTATTTATTCCCATGTATGGCAGCTATTCCAGGTAAATGGTTGTCACTGTGCCACATATACTGCGAACTGTCTCACCAGTTCTCATGTCTCCTGGCTCATTTGCTTTTCATATTTTAAGCCTCCTCGTATTCTTAAAGTGCAAACTAGTTTCTGCCGCACTAATACCAAGAATGAGCTCCCCATGCTTGCATCCCTACTTCTCATATGCTCCTGATTCCACTACCCATCCACACCCAACCCCACCCCACATGTGATTCTCCCGTATCGACGTGACCCACGTGCCTCATCTCGAGGGACTTCCCACTTCTACTGATTGTTTCTGCTGCACGTTCACCACAGCATCCTTCACGTCCGTTCCGCATCCACCCCCACCTCCCAAGCAGTTCTCCCTCGTCGACGTCACCCACGCGCCTCTCCTGGAGCGATTCGTTGCCAGTGCGCCGTACTGGAAAGGCCTCACAGTTAGAAACAACCCTCGCTGGCCGGCCCTCTCCCGCTGGTACGATGCCATGGATGCTCGACCCGCCTACCTCCCTCTCAAGTCCGATGATTTCTCCATCACCCACTCCCTCGTGCCGCAAATCGGGCCGGTGATCGCTAGCACCGATCCAACGGCTGTGGCTCGCCGGGCTTATATTGACGGACGGGATGGGACGGGCGCGTGGGATCTGCCGTTGAGGGAGGAGGAGACGGCATGGGGGAGGGAGGATGGGACGGGTGGGGAGGGGCGGAGGGCGCAGAGAGAGGTGGTGCGGGCGATTGTGGGGAATCATGACAGGCTGGTAGCATTCTGCTTCGGTCTTTGGGGGATTCTGCACATGCTTCTGCCGCCGCTACTGCTGGGGCTGCTGTTGGTGCCATTGGTGCTGGTGCCACTCCTACCAGCAGCCAGACCCAAGTGGACCAAGCTGAACCACAGCAGCAGGCCATCATGGCGGAATGCCTTGCGCCAGCCGTCAGCGAGGCGTTGCGCCACGTGGCGCATGCACTGCTGGTCGGCACAGAAGCCGCAGGCCCCTTCCCTGCCATGTCCCAGGCACTCCAAAAGCTAAGTGTTGGGAGCAGAAGTGAGGATGTGAGGGCAGCAGGGGAAGAACGGTTGGTGATGGCTCTTGCGTATCTGAGGGATAGAGTTGGGGTGCCAAGGGACTAGAGCTATCCAGCTGCAAGGCAGCTAAGAGCTCATCTCCAGTGGATCATTCGGTCATTAGGATCTTCAATGTAAAAACAGTAGATGACCTTATGTTGACGTATTGTACAGATGTCTAAACCTTACTGGCAAGCATATATAGCCATTATGGTTCACGTGTAAGAGAGAAACTTTGAACCACCTGAACCCTACACCAGGTTTTCTGTCATCGTTGTACCTTGTAGGTATCCTTTTTTAGGAATGTGGTGGAACAATATTGTAAAAGCACTTCAATATATGTAGCCTTTTCACCAATCCTCCTCTGCATGGGTCTGGCAGTGAGTGGGCATGTGGAGCAGCAGCCATTGCGGTCATGATGATGCTTGAGAGCACGCCTGGCACACATGGTGAGTCAGAGACTCGTAGCGGAGGTGAAGGCTGTGGCTTTAAAAGGCAAGGCGACTTTCAGCATGATCACGGGCTCAATTACAAGACGTTTCTGGATTGCCATAGAGCTGGGATGGCTCGAAACCATGGGAGGTGGGGGGGAAAGAAACAAGGGACTGGAGGGGCAGAGGAGGTTGTGTGTGTGTGTGTGTGTGTGTGTGTGTGTGTGTGTGTGTGTGTGTGTGTGTGTGTGTGTGTGTGTGTGTGTGTGTGTGTGTTGACACACCTGGTGGAGTCATAGTGGGAGCGGATTTGACTGATTGTGAGGCCTGCCATGCTACCTCTGCTCCTCCACTGTGGAGATTCACATCACTGTGACCAGTAAATAGTGGTTCAGTAACTAGATAAGATATAACTTCCATTCATATGCACTCTTGCAAAAATGGTGGCCCTGCCACCATGACAATATGGTCATCATGCCTTCATTCCAGCCTTCATCCTGGCCAGCATACTCTCCAGCCTTCATCCCGGCCAGCATACTCTCCCTCTCCAGCACCTTCCCGCAAGGTTGCCAGTCTCGCTCGCATGCTGCTGACCCGCATTGCCCGGTGGCGGTGGGAGGGGGCAAGGAGCAGGAGAAGGTGGCATCTGGACGGTTGTGCCTGCTGAGGCTGGCTGGTGTGTGAGTAAGGGCTATGGATGGATTTTGCTCTGGCTGTGCTTGTTGTCAGATCCAAAATGTGCTGGGTGGTGGGCTCGGGTTCTGCTGTATGTTGCTGGGCAATGTGTTTGAGGTTTGATATAGGCGCTGGTATGGTAGCATCTGTTTCCATTAAATTCGCAAGCTAGTTGTGTTTCAGTCCCCACCAAGCCCTCACATATAAGGGTAAAACATGGTGAAGCCCTGGATTTTATGGTGTTGGTAGGTGCTAGAGATTTCAAGGTATCGGTTGAATTTGTCATGCACTTGGATGATGTGTTTTTTAGACTGTGTATTCAGAGTGTTGTGTCGCTCAACGCCCTGATGCCTCAGGGTATATCCGAGGGCTGCACTGGCCTACGTGGCTTAGTCTGACCTACGTGGCTTAGTCTGACCTACGTGGCTTAGTCTGACCTACGTGGCTTAGTCTGACCTACGTGGCTTAGTCTGACCTACGTGGCTTGGTCTGACCTACGTGGCTTAGTCTGACCTACGTGGCTTAGTCTGGCCTACGTGGATCGGTCTGACCTAGTACGTGGATTGGTCTGACCAATTTGGCTTGGTCTGAAATATTTGGCTTGGTCTGACCTATTTGGCTTGGTCTGACCTATTTGGCTTGGTCTGACCTATTTGGCTTGGTCTGACCTATTTGGCTTGGTCTGGCATGGTCTGGCCTATTTCGCTTGCTGTGGCCTGTCTGGCTTGGTATGGCCTTGTCTGACCTGGTCCTGAAATGTAGCATGAAGAATATGGCATTGGGAGAATAACATGGAAGGAACGATATTCGGTTTCTATGTGGGCAAGAATTTGAACGTTTGGCAGCAGCTGTGTTGAAAGCTATTCCCTTTTTTATAGTGCTCTCTTTGTATTGATGTTGCTTCGTCTTCTTCTTCTTTCCTTTCCTTCTTTAATGGCACATAGTAGTGTATCGGGATTAGCTTCCCTAGTTGTCGTTCGTCCTATCTTTTGGAACTCATCAGAAGTGGAATTCAATGGTTTAGTGCTCCTCACCTCATACTAGGACCTATAATTAGTTCTAAGAGACCCTGAGGCCTCATGGAAGCTCGGATGGCAAGGAGGAATTTCATCCGGTGCTCTCAGTGCATCAATGACTTCCAGTGTCACTATAGCTTCCGTGGCAGAATTTAAGCTATTCCAATCGACCGGACCAAGCCACACCAGTCCAGGCTCGAGCATGACAGGGGAGAGGAGGCAATTACCAGGCCAGTACCATGCCAGACCAGATGAGGCCAGACGAGCCCAGACCAGGCCAGAAACCAGGCCCCAGACCAGAACAGACCGTACCAGACCAGGCAACAACAAGCCAAATACCAGGCCAAACCAGGCTAGAGCAGGACAGGTCACACCAGACCAGGCATACTATGCGAGACTGGGCAAGGCCAGATCAGACAACGCCAGACCATATGAGGCCAGACCATATGAGGCCAGACCATATGAGGCCAGACCATGTGAGGCCAGACCATATGAGGCCAGACCATATGAGGCCAGACCATATGAGGCCCTGACCAGCCTGTAGACCATTTTAAACAACACCAGGCAAGGCAACAAGCCAGACAAGGCCAGACATGTTGCTGCCCGCTTCTCATGTGCCTCGGTCTTGACCATCCCTCACATTTTTCATGTCAAACTACATTTGCATATGTTTTGTAGGCTGGTATGTTTCTTAGATTGGGTTACTCTGTATAGGGTACAATTCTGGTTGATATGAACTCTTGTTTATGATACCTTCACCTCTCCTGCCTTTTTTAATATCACTTCATGACCAGGGCTCATGTCAACAGGGTAGAATACCCTGTTTGCACTTTTTTTTTCGGGAAGTGTGACGTACGGTATATTCTCCCCTTTTCAGATCAATATACCCCATTCTTTCGCCCTGCTAATGCAAGGTTTACCGCAAGCCTTAACCGGCCAGAATACCTTCAAGAACCGACCGTTTTAACTTGGCCACTCCCACCCAAACACTAATTTGCCTCATATTTCCACGTTCATTTGTCGGCGACAGTAAAGAACGTGTCGATATGTGGTGAAAAATGTATTCATGTGATATTCCAATACTATTTATGATGTTAAATAGCAAAATTCTGTTTTTTTTTTTTTTTGCGAATCTAAATACTGTGTTAAATGTGTATTTGATACAATTGTGACCTTCATTTCATCCTGCTATGGAACTTCACATGGTTTCTTGCATGCATTTCTCTATTGTTTTGTTATTAGTAGATGGGTTTTACGAATTTTACTTTGTAAGATGCGTATGATACACTGAAGCTATACAGAGCAACTGAAGCATTTTCTCCGCAAACCCAATCCAACTCCATTGTTCCTTTCATGGCAGATTCCCCTGCGCAGCTTTCCCCGTCGCATTTCCATTCGCCAAATGTCCCAAGCCAAACCAAGGCTCCAAACAGCCTTCGTTATCGCATCGCATTAGCTATCCAGGCTCATCGTCGACAACCTTAGCTTGCCGCCTGTGGGTTGCTGAGAGTAGCAATAGGTTTGTTGTGGGGGCTGCTTTGGCTCAACTTGCGGTTTTTTCCTTTTTAACGTTCTACGAGGTTAGCGGTATGGAACTCTGGAATCTCAGAGGTAGGGTTTCGCGGACTTCCCTAGGGTGTCATGCTTCAGAGTCCCTGGACTACGATGATGCTGCTGCTGATGCTAGAAATAGCTGCTGTATTCTTCGAGCTCGTAGAACCACGTTCAGGCTATTAGCCATCGCGTTGCCTATAAGAACACACACGCGCAACATACAATATACAGCCTGTTGGGACCGCGTAGACTTACCTCTTCAAGGCCAGAGGGGATCCCATTTCAAGGGCACACCGTGTTGTTGATTTATGAGGAAGTGGCTAAGCTCGAAAAGATGCTGCAAAACATTATTTTTGTGGTGGGTCTCATTCTTTTATGCAAATGCATCTGTGGTAAAAGAAGAGATGAAGAGCGGTCGAATTTCCAGTACAGCGCCATCAACTATGGAACCAGCAGCTATGCAGCCAGCAGCTATGCAACCTCACCCACTTCATTCCAAGCACCTCCTGTCCGGCGAACTTCTGTTGCTGTCTTTTGGGACTACGAAAATTGTCAGATTTACAGTGGGGTCGGTACCGCGAGAGCCGTTGAGTTTATCCGTAATGTAGCATCAGGTTATGGATCTATTGTAGAGATGACTGCTTATGGCAAAGCTGCCCAATTAGCATCCCGTGAGAACGATTTGTTGTATTATGGGGTTTCGGTGAGGAAAGTGTCGCAAGGTTGGAACTTGGCAGATTATGAGATTCGCACGGACGCTGCAAGATTTGCTTCTTACAACAACTATGGGTATGGTACCAGCTTTTGTATGCTGCTGTTTTATTTCGCTCTCACTTGTATTTTCTGATAGTGCCTATTAATGTTTTTCTTCTTTCTCAAATTATGTCCTCTGTTGCTTCTTCCGAGTAAATCCACCAGGGCGACTGTGGTGCTCATTTCGGGGGACCATGGATTTTGTCCACTCATCAGAGACCTTCGGCACAGAAATGTGCGAGTAGTTGTCATCGCGAGGAGGGATCAGCTGTATGCTGTTGGAAGTGTGGGGGACGGGATTGCCCCCCACGCGAAGACCTCCCTTGACTCGGACCAAGGGAGGGTTCTTTCTCGGAATGAGGGGTGACGGCGGATTGCCCGCGCCACTCAACCGAGTTCGCCCCCGGTTGGGTCCGAATATTTGTGGGGGCGACACTTGGCAGCCCCACAAGCATGCACGAAAATAGCGAGGGTGCAAGCGAATGTTACGAACATTTCACTACACTCGCTATTGATCCTTGTAACACACGATTGTCGGCGTGAAGAAACGAACCCGGCAAAGTCCGAAATTGTGAACGCGGACGTCGCGGAAATTGGACGCAATCCTGAGTCCGAATTTCTGCGAGTCGCGCGCGGT